CATCCAGAGTTACATTTTACAGACTGGAACAGCAGCATGAAACTCTATAATGTGCTTTTTGGAAGTGTACTGATGGGTCACTTTTACACGGTTTGGCAGGCAGACTGCAGTAGCAGCCCAGCTGCCTTCCTCGATGCCGCTGTTGAAAGCACTGGCTGTCAGGACGTCCTGCAGTCAGGAGGGTTGGGCTCTGAGAATCGCACGCGAGGTCGCAGGTGAATCTCTGCATGGAATGCGACATCGTGCAAGTGAATCCCGATCATGCGAAATGCAGACGCTGTAGCTGACTCTCTTCGAGGAAAGAGTCGACCTGCCTGCGCAGACTTCACAGGGCAGACCGGGGTCCCTGGACGCTCCAACAAGACATGGCCAAAAACACTTTGAAAGAAGGATTTTTTTTCTTTCTTTCAAGTCCACCACAAATTGAAGCAGAGTTAAGGGTGAGTCAGAGAGCAGAGTCGGTGAGCAGGGTGTTGGCATACAAACTGCAGAGGTGACAGAGACTGCCGCTGAAGGTCGCTGTGACAGTTTTGCAGTGATGACAGGAGATGTAGACTTAAGTACTCAGACTGAGAAAGAACTGTTCAGTTGCCTTGGCAACCTTCCTCCAGAGAGATGAGAGGTGGTGTCTGATAGGAGCTGAAATACTACACGTGTCCAGGCAGTCAGTATGACTGTTAAAGTGCACAGCGTGAGTGGTGTGTTTCTGCTTCTCTGCTCAGGGAGTTACAGCAGGTTACAGGTTTCTGTGGTAAGGCTGTGGAGCACGTTTGCTGTTCTGCTTGCGCTTGTGTTTGCGTTCACCTCTGATCCTCCACTGACCTGGGAACAGGTCTGTACTGCCTCAAGTGTACCCCCACCCACCGGGACATGCCACTCTTACTCACACTCTCGCTGTACTGGGATCAGCAGCCGAACATCGGCCCTGACGCTGCAGCGGATCAGTCCACATCCCAGTGGATGAAGACTGAAATACTGCCGCCTTTGACCTTTGCCCCCTTGCTGCACAGACCGACCAATGGGGTGATCAGGTGACAGTGATGTGCATGCGCCTGACAGACCGGGGTCAGAGGTGACGGTCCCTCCATTTCTGGTTTCAGCAGTTTCTCTGCCCGCTGTTGGTCACTGAATTCTGACCTCCGAGTATAAGAGTGTGAGGGACCTCAGCGCTCTGAGGAGGATGAATTCATGGCTGAAGGTGAGCTGAGCTGAGCACTGCTGCTCCAGACTGAGGAATTCTGGGAGTTCGGCAGGAGAGCGAGGAGTTTCTGCTGGATCACCCAGACTGACCCGAATCTGTGGTCCCCTCGCTTTGCGTTAGTTATCATTAAATAGCCCCGATACATTCATACATTTTTGATTCGGGCTGAGAGATGTTCCCCACCTGGGACGCATCGTCTCCAAATAAGGAGCCTCACTGCGTAACCCCCACCCCACCCCGTCCTCTGAATGCTGATTAGTTAGCAGAGGGGAGAGAAAACAAAGGACACTCTCTCTGAGTGCCGTAAAAAAGCGTGTTTAATCTGGAGAAAAACCCTTTAGAAACAAAGGACTGAGTTAAGCTCCGGGCCCCGCGGCTGCGGCTAATATGGGGCAATTGTTCCAGCTTAACGGGATTAATCATGCTGTGCTCTGAGTTAGTGAGGCAGGGTGCGACTCCCAGGGAGGGGCAGCTTCGGGTGGGGTCTGGCTGGGGGGTGGTTTGGGTGGAGTCTAGCTGGGGGAGGGTGACAGTTTTAGGTGAGGTCTGGCGGGAGGGGTGATTTTAGGCAGAGGTGGAAAACCCCAGCTTCAGAAAGTACAAGTCCTGCCACGTATTCGTTCCACCCATGCACTACACCAGCTGAATTTAATTAGCACAACTCTTCAGCCAGGTAGAGGAGCTAATTAGTGAAATCACCTTGGACTTTTACTTTCTGAAGCCGGGGTTTTCCACCTCTGGTTTTGGGTGTAGTCTGGGTGGGGCGGGGGGTAAGAGTTTTAGGTGAGGTCTGGCTGGGGGGTGGTTTTAGGTGGAGTCTGGCTGGTGGGGGTAAGAGTTTTAGGTGAGGTCTGGCTGGGGGTGGGTGGTTTGAGGTGGAGTCTGGGTGGGGCAGGTGGGTGGTTTTAGATGGAGTTGGGGTGGGGGGGTGTAGTTTTAGGTGGGGCCTATGATGGTTGGGGAGGGAGGGGTTGGGGTGAGAATAATGAGAATATTGTGTGGGACCTGGTTTGAACATCACTACAGCGGATATACCAAGCCTTCAGGAGAAAACTCCCTGGGGAAGACATCATTCCTGTGACAGCAATGATTGCTAATGTCCTCACAGCTTTCACTTTCTGTGTGGCCTCTGAACTTTGAACTTTCGGCCTGTTACAGCCAGCCATGCATAGTTGTAGTGTCATAGATAGGCATAGTCTCTGGTTTAAGTCTTGGTTTGACCCCCAACCTATAACCTCTGACCCTTACTTGTCCTGTACATAGTAGCTGGTTTGAAACCGTGGCTGTTGAGTTAGTGGAGTCGGTTTGAAAGCTGGTGTTGCCACTTCCAGCCCCAGGAGCTTATGCGTTTGAGCACGGCTTTGTATGTTGGCTTCTTACTACTTGATCCTGTGAAAAGAAATTTCCAGTGAACTTAAATTTTATTTATTTTATTTTTTTTGGATTGTCGCCTAAGAGACAGCTATTCCTAAATACACTTTCACTGTGAATATATAAATAAATAGAAAGGGTTTCTCCTTTTGGATATTTGTGTCACAGTGAGATCTGAAAGCTTAACTGCAGATCATTTTTCAGAGGGCCCTCTGAGGTGTCCTCAGACAGGATCAGGTTACTCTCAGCAACAGCTCCGGAGGCCGGGATGAGTTCCTGCTGTTACTGCAGTTGGACACTAGGTGGCAGCATTATGTTGCATACTGTGAATAGGTTTTGATGATTTTTTCCTGTCAGAGTGTAGATAACGGTGGAACAGAGCGACAGTATCAGTGTTAATTTTTAATCAATCACACACTGTATGGGAGTCTGTAACTGATCCTGGACCAGTCCATCAGGCTGTCTGGACAAAGGGGAAGTATTTGACCAGGTGAGGTGAATTCTGGGATGTGTTCACACACCCATTGTGGTTTTAGGATACAGGCACTGAAGAACAACACATATTATATTATAATGCAACATCACATTACATGGTATTATATTCCATTGTATTATACTACAATTACATTGCGTTTAAAGTTTTGGCATCCGGCAGACACTCTTATCCAGAGCAACTCCCAAAGTCAAGCACAAAGTGCATCCAGCAAAACCAGATGAACAGTTACGGGAAAAAGGGAACCATCGTACACACATGGCAAAGAACCAGCACAGAACACAGGGCCGAGATCACAAGCCCGACAGCCCAATCGCGCAAGTGCAACACAATATACCGAACAGAGTGACTGTAGCATTCCAGCACATACCCTGAGGTAAAACTTCCACATATAGTAGATGGGATTATATGCACACAGTTAATTAACATTAACATAACATGAGATAGTGATGTGACAGGGCTTCCCCAGTGGCCTCCCTCAATGGACTCCCGCAGAGAGACTCCCTTTGTCTTTGTGAGTATCTGTAGGAGTACGTTATTATACTCTGTTAGTACTGTGGTTAGCAGCTGCGCTCATCGTTACTGAATGTGCATTCATTTGTACGCCTGGGTATGGACTGAAGCAGGGTAGGGGCATGACGGCACCGCCCCCCCTGCCCGCCGGCGTAACCGTGGCAGCATGTTTCTGCCTCTGTCTCTGTCTCTGCCTCCGCCTCTGCCTCTGCCTCTGTCTCTGTCTCTGTCTCTGTCTCTCTGTCTCTGTCTCTCTGTCTCTCTCTCTCTCTCTCTCTCTCTCTCTCTCTCTCTCTCTGTCTCTGCCTCTGCCTCTGTCTTTGTTTCTGTAAGACCTCGGTGTCTCTCTGTCTCTGTGTCTGTCTCTGTTTCTGATCCCCTCTTCCCTGCTCTCTAAAGCCTCTGAAATCTGTCTTTGTTTCTGGACACTGTCTCTGATGTTTCTGCCTCTGTCTCTGTTTCTGCCTCCGCCTCTGCCTCTGCCTCTGTCTCTCTGCCTCTGTCTCTCTCTCTCTGTCTCTCTCTCTCTGTCTGTCTTTGTTTCTGTTTCTGTCTCTATTTTTGCCTCTGTCTGGGGGAAGGTCTCTGTCTCTGTCTTTGCCTCTGGAATTCTGGTCTCTCTCTTCTGTCTTTGTTTCTGCCTCTGCTCCTCAGAGCTGGAAGGGGGGGGTGGGGGAGAGATGGATCGGGTGCAAACAGGCTTCCTCTGAAGCTGTGAGAGGAGCTGCATCCCTCTGAGCAGGAAGCATCACATCGCCATAGTGATAGGCAGATCATCGCCATAGTGATAGGCATCACATCGCCATAGTGATAGGCAGATCATCGCCATCGCCATAGTGATAGGCAGATCATCGCCATAGTGATAGTTAGATCATCACCATAGTGATAGGCAGATCATTGCCATAGTGATAGTAAGATCATCACCATAGTGATAGGCAGATCATCGCCATAGTGATAGTTAGATCATCACCATAGCGATAGGCAGATCATCGCAATAGTGATTGCACTCTCCCATCAGGATGAATGGATCACTCACCGCAGAGCTGCTATCACTCACCGCCCACAGACTCCGCCCTCTGGAGGAAGGTCAGCCGTCAACCCGATTACCCTGCCGTGTCAAAGTGGCATTTGGAGGAAGGGAGTGTTTACAGCAGGCCTGAGGGCTCGGTGCCAACTGTGTCACGCGCACAGACGTGTACAGGGACTTTACTGCAGCACATTGTGTATGAGCCAAACATAGCCCTCACCCCCCGATCTAAAAAACAAACAGAAAGAGACCACATTGGCTGTGATATAAATGAACTAAAGGTTACTCTATCACAGCCTCTGAAGTAACTTGCCTACAAGGCAATTTTGGAATAGAGACCAAGCAATGCTCACGCAATTTCATTTGAGATTTGCCAACTCAATGTCATGAAGCAAGGGCTCATCCAGGATTCCAACCCGGGACATCTCACACCCTAAGGAAGAATCCCACCCTTAACCCAATGAGCCCCACTAAAACAGCTAACTTAGCGATGAGAGCATAGTGAAGTTTCTTACTCTTAGAGGACTTGTGGGGAGGCCTGCAGGTGTCAGGAGAGTCACGGTTTCTCCTAACGCACCGTCCTCCCTCTCTTCCTGCGGCTATCCCAGCATACAGTTCCATCGCTAAGCTCCTTCCTCCTGCTCCTCTTCCCTCCTGATCTCTGCCCACATTTCCAGCTGTCCCCCCAGTGCATTATGGGAGTGTGACAGCTGTAACAGGAAGGAGGTGTTCTCCTTAATGACTCAGCGACCTCCTCGCTCTAGTGACTCGCTCTTTTGACATCCAGCAGTGGTCTTCAGCGGCCCATTGCCAGCAGGGTCTGAGTGTGTGTGCAAACGCGCTGCATCTTCAGTAGCTGTTCTCAGAAATTCTCCCACTTCTGTTTCCCAGAACTGTGCTGTCATCCCCCTTGTGTAAGGGACAAGCTGTTGCATTCCCTCCTATTTTATGAATCTAACATAGTAGCGTGGTGCAGCGGTAAGGAGCAGGGCTTGTAGCTGAAAGGTTACAGACAGCTGCTGTACCATTGGGCAGGGTGCTTAACCCAGAACTGCCTCAGTAAATATCCAGCTGTATAAATGGGTAACATGGAAAAACTGTAACCTATGCAAGTCACTCTGAATAAGAGCATCTGTTAAATGGCAATGTAAAAAGTAATGTAAATCACATGAGCATTGTGTCACCACTGGGGATATGTCGGGTTTTTAATGCCCTGTCTCATGTCAGTAAGGAGTAGGCTGTAGTTCAGACAGGCAGCATTAATGCTTTTGGGTTAGGAGATACAGTGTCAGCCTACCCTGTGTCCGACAGACAGCCTCATACACAGGCAGTGGGAGTCCGAGTGATGCGCTGGCTGTGTGTGTGTGTGAGAGAGTGTGTGTGTGTGTTTGCGTGTGTGTATGGGGGGTACAGACAGGGCGAGAGGGCGAGGCCTGCTTTTCGCTGCTCCCTGCAGTACCCATGACCAGCCTCTGGATGGCAGCATTCCAACACAGCCACAGGACTGCCTCTGCATCGCAGGAAGTGCTTCTGCTTCCTCCCCTCGGCCAGCAGAGGGCGGCGTGGAGCAGAGGGAAAGTCGGGTTGCTCTGTAGGGGCGTGCCGGCGGTGTGAGTGGCAGCCGGTCCCTCAGGGCTGCTGCCACTCTGTCATTACAGGCATTAAAGTCTGCATCCTCCGCTAAATAAAGCGCACACCACTCCTCTCACTGCGAGGCGTTTCAGGTCACTTCCTTCCTCCCTCCGGGGGCACAGAGTGGCGGGCCCCGCCCTGCAATGCAGCAGGAAGGCCGCGGGGTGGGGGGTGCATTTGTTTCGGGGATGAACTGATGCCTGACCTCTGACCCCCGATAGACACGTAACCTGAAGTGCCTGAGTGGACGTGCAGCTGTGTGAGTCTCCAGCGATGAGGCTGAGTGAGTCCGGGTGGAGCAGAATGCTCTCAGTAAAGCCTTTTCCAGCACCAGCCTGAATAACCCTGAACCACCCCGCGGAAACCCTGAGGAAACTCTCAATAAACCCTGAGCAACCCAGAGGAAACCCTGAGGAAACTCTCAAAAAACCCTGAGCAACCCAGAGGAAACCCTGAGGAAACTCTCAATAAACCCTGAATAGCCCTGAGTAAACCCTGAGTAAACCCTGGGGAAACTCTGAGGAAACGTTGAGCATATCTACACAGTACCGGGGGAAAGTGGAGAAACAGGGTGTGTGAGGAGGCGTGCTGTCATCAGAAAGCACAGGAGAGCGGCCAAGCACTGCTGAGTCATTTACATTACATTTTTTATATTACATTTACACGCTCTCATCCAGACAGACGTTACAGTTCTTACACGTTATGCATGAAAACAGCTGGATATTTAGTGAGGCAGTTGTGGGTTCCCAAAGGTACAATTCCAAGGGCACAACAGCGATGCCCAGCGTGGAATAAAACTGGCAACCATTGGGTTGCCAGCCCTGCTCCATATCCCCGCTGCTGGTGTGCAAACCCGACGGAGGGCTGCAGAAGCAGGAGGAGCCCAAGGAGAAACTCAGCCACCCTGTGGAGGGGGGGTGCGTCGGGGAAAATGGGATAAAAGCCTGTTGTTTTAATACTGTCTGTTCTTTCTTTGTTTGTTTTCTTTGCTCTTTTTATTTCCCTCATTTTTCTTTCTTTCATTCTTTCTGTTTTTCTTTCTTTCATGCTGTTCCCCCACGTGTCAGTAAAAGCACTAGCTGATTCCATGCAGATGTGGCATACTTGGCTGGTCATAGTTCATAAAGGTGCGTGGAACAGCCCGTGTCTGATATAGCCATCAAATGGTGTTGCTCCACACGTCAGTGACCAATCAGCAGCCTCGCTGAGGTGCAGGCGGGACGGGCGGCACACACCTGCTCAGAGCGCCTGCGGCACACCTGCACACGCGGGGAGCACCTCTCACGAGTCACTTTAACAGCGCAAAACTCGCGTCACAATGACATGGAGCAGACCATGAGACCCTGGCGTGTGGATCAGCAGCTGGGCCGGGTCTCCGGGATGCTTTCAGGACAGCACCCTCCATGGGGCCCCTGAACGCCAGCGCACAGGCACACTCTCAGAATCTGGTTGGCTGTCAGCCCCCCATGATGTTTTTGTGACAGGGAGAACATTCCGTCTGAACTACAACAACCAGACCTTCCCCTCCCCTCTCTCTCTCGCCCCTCTTTCTTCCCCCGTCTTCACATCTGCTCCCCCCCACCCCTCTGCCCCTGCTCTCAGTTTCTACATAAATTTGCTTTATGATCGGCAGAAACGCACATCCGTGTTCCCGCTGCATGTGCACTGTGCACAGGAACAGGGGAGCTTGTGCCATCACGTTATTTACAGTGATAAAGACCCGTCATGAGAAACACATGCACACGCAAAGCCAGTGAGTCAGTGAAATGAGTGATGATGAGTGATCAGTGACAGTAATGAACACAGGATGCTGGGTCACATCAGAGGCCTTCAGTGTTTAATCCTGTGGTCTTTACTGCTCTGCTACGCTCACCTGCTCCCCGTGTTCCCGCCCTCCTCTCTGAGGAGGATGGCTCATTTATCTCTGTCTGATGGCGGGCACAGCTGTGTTATTTTTGGGAAGTAAGTGCCCCTTTCTTCCCTGTGCTTTCCTGGTCACGTGATGCAGAGGGGGTCTGTCTGAGAGTGCTGTGGAGAGCAGTGTGGGCGTGGCCTCTCAGGTCGCCAGGTCTGCAAGTGCCCGCTGCTGTCTGTGGCCTCTGTGCTCTCTGAGACTGTGCTCTCTCCAACCCTGTGCTCCCTGAGACTGTGCTCTCTCCAACCCTGTGCTCTCTGAGACTGTGCTCTCTCCAACCTTTTAATCTGAGAGTCACCAGCCCTGTGCTCTCTGGCTCTCTCAACCTTTTAATCAGGTTGGTCAGTCAGGTTGGTACCATTAGGGGTCAGTAGTGTGTAGTGTGATGTGACAGCGCTGTCTGCAGAGGGTTAGTGCAGTGAGCCTTGGGTCCAGCTGGCTGAGGGGACTCTTCTGTGGGCCCAGAGCTTGCCGTTTCAGAGCATTGGAGCATGGGGGAGTTTGCTGTTTCTTGGGTGGATACAGAATCTAATTGCCCTCTTTTTGATGTTAATTAATAATGGCCATTGGCCTGATTCTGTCCTGTTGCTGTCCTGGGGGCTTCCATACACGCAGGTATTTTTTGTATTTACACTTAAATTCAAATCCAAATGCAGTCTCCCTCTGTTTCTCATTCTCTCTTCCCCCCCAAATTCAGTCTGGTTTAATGCAGTCTCAGTGTTGAATGTTTGTGTGGCACAGTACATCTGAACATATTGCCAAAGCTCTCTCCCTTGAGCTCCCTCCCTCCCACTCCTTGTTTCACTCTCTCTGTAAGCTTATAAAGACACAGCATTAGGGTTCAGTAAGGTTACTGAGTCACAGTGTTAGTGCATAGGATAATTATAGAGTTATATGGTTCCAAAGGTTACAGTGTCAGTCACAGTAAGGCTATAGAGGTTACAGTGTCAGTGCACAGTAAGGCTATAGAGGTTACAGTGTCAGTCACAGTAAGGCTATAGAGGTTACAGTGTCAGTGCACAGTAAGGCTATAGAGGGCTATAGAGTGGTTACAGTGTCAGTGCAGTGCAGTCACAGTAAGGCTATAGAGGCAGTGCACATAGTTACAGTGGTTACAGTGTCAGTACAGTGTCAGTAGTAGGCTATAGAGGTTACAGTGTCAGTGCGCAGTTACAGTGTCAGTGCGCAGTAAGGCTATAGAGGTTACAGTGTCAGTGCGCAGTGCCAGGATGAGTGTGGGCCGGTGAATGGTCATAATGACAGGGTGTCCACGTGTCTCCTGTTTATATTTACTTTAGAGGTTACAGTTTAGTTTTTACAGGCAAAGGCAGCCAGGAGGTGGTGGTGAATGGTGACAGGGTGTCCCGTGTCTCCTGTTTATATTTACTCCTTGAGCTGCAATCAGGGGTGGGATGGGGACGTCTGGTGCCCTGTCAGGAGGGGTGCCCTGTCACCGGGGCTCGGAAACCCCGCCCGTCACAATGACAGGCGAGGCACGGCCTAATGATGGCCTCAGACCCAGAGAGACCCCGGCGGAGGCTCCCCCGATCACCTGCTCCACGGAGTCTGGGGCCGAAGCAGAAAGCAGGCTTCACCTGTCCCTGGAGGCTTTGCCGTCCACTCAGAGAGCCAATGAGAGCGCACCACAGCTTCTCCTGTCTAATGGTGTCATGAAGACTCAGTCGTCCGTTAGTACTTCCGCTGGTTATATCTATTATGTTCGTCCTTTTCTGATATTTCCAGGCTCCTCCAGATGGCGCCATAGAGCAGAAGCTGTGGATTAAACTAAAGCGAGGACGGTGCATATCTTTACACATTATTTAAAACAAAAAACATGATTATTTGGGTTAGTTTTTTTCAAACAGGATTAAAGGGAATAACATCGTTTTTCATGTTTTTGACTTTAACAGTGGTTAGTCT